TGTTATCATCATTTCTGCATTGTATATGGTTTTTTTTTTCCGATTGAATCTTGTTTATTCATTATTATTGATTACAATGGTGTGCTGAATGGGGTCGTGTGGGTCGGATCGCCGGGACGCGGGGGAGCGGAGGCGCGTCGCGGGCTGCGGCGTTGGCGCGTGCGGCTCGCGGCTGGCTTCCGGCTGGGTCGCGGGCGTTGGTGATAGGATATCATTGGAAGTCTAGTTTAAGGTTCTGCTGGGCTGACATTTTTGTTCTTGTGGATTTTTGTGTTGAGAATGGGGATTTTCCTACGGGGTTCAGACAATGCTTAGTTATTTGTGCTTTAAACCTTATTAGAGAGCAAGAGTTTATGGGCAAAGACATTTGTATGAACATAAAGGGCTTCCACACATTGGAGATCCCGGTTGTTATGTTTCGTGTTAAAACAAAAGGATGATTACGAAAGCTTTCGCCTAATTGAAGAAAAGCCTAGCTAGCTTTCAGAATGGTTAAATTCACTGTTAAAAACTTAAAATCAAGGAGGGGGTAACTGTAGTATTGAAAATGTGAAGGCGAGGTTGGGAAAATTTGATTTTTCTTTGAAGGGGGCATATGTAACATTAACTTGAATTCACGGGGCACATTTTTGTTGTTTTGAAAGTTAATTGGGCGTTTTCTATAGAATTTTTAATCTCAGGGACTGCGAAAGTTAATTAGCTAAGAAGTTTCAGTTGTGAATTATTGAAATCACCCTGGCATAGGAGACAGAAGGTATTAAAATGTGTAGCTTGCAGCTCATGCTGGATTTCTCTCGGGCATCTCGGGGATAGAATCAGTACCAGGCCCTCAGTTGCCTAAGGTCGATTTTCTCGCGCGTTTTAATGGTAATATTTTGTGGTACACTTTCAAATAAGCCACATTTATGTATGGTTTGATTTGCTCTGGAATTTCCGTAACCTCTTGGTTATTTTAGAGGAAAATCAAAAGAAATATGCCGAAAATGATGCAAGATTCAAAGAGTCTCCCCTCCTCAAGAAGTTGCTTGAGCAGACCAAGCTAAACAAAGAAAAGTATACTCTCTTTACCCATTTAGAGTGAGCTACAAAACTACCATTTGATGTAGTCGAAGGAAAACTCGGTTTATCTTTTAAAATTGCAAATACCCCTTAGAATTTGTTTTTGCCTGAACTGTGGTGTTTTTTTTTTTTTTTTTCAGAAATCGACAGCAAATTCTTGACAAATATTGCATCCGAGGGGCTGAGTGGGGAGTTGGAGATTGCTCAGCCGAAGGCATGTCACCAGAAGATAGAGACAAATTTATTGCGATGTTGAAGCAGAAAGCTGGAGTTGAATGAGGCCATGCAGTTCTAATTTAATGCTTGCTGATACGGTGATGTCGCAACTCATTGCAAGTAAATTCTTTTGAAATGTGAAGAGAAAAACATTAGGCAAAGGAATTGTATCAAATATTTTTGCAAGAGTTATAAACAACTCATTCTTAAATCATTTCTCATTTTAGGTCATCCCCATTTTAAATTGTTGAGGGTGAATTTCACAAAATCATCCTTGACTTCGGCCTTTTTTTTTTTTTTTTTTATTTAATCCATGTGTTTATCTACATTACTAAAACCCCCGCAAAGTTTGTCTATCATTTGAATTTCTTTCTATTTGTTGTAGACGCCGAGCTATTATATTGTCCGCTAAAGAAAGATTGAAACAGACAAGACGATCGATCATTATGGTACAAAAAAAGTTCGATAAAAAGGCATGCATGCCACACATAGTTCTCATGCAATGTTGTTGGACATGACTAACTTTCTATGCAACATAAGCGCTCGATGGACCGATTTTTATCTGGTTGGATATCAAGACAGACTGTATAAGGTTGGTTTCATGGGATTGTACTTTCAATTTTTGAATTATATTTTAGAAGATTCTTCGAGTTTACTTGAACTCGATTGATATGTTGCTTCTTTTTTGGTTGCTCGCTAGTGTTGACCTGTAACAATTGCAGCTGTCTTTTACTGTATTGAGTTGTTCTATTGTATTTAGAACACAATCAGATGAACCAAATGAACAAGTCAAAAACACATATCGAAATACACTAATCTTCATATAATATTTGAGGTATTGAAAATATATCAATCATATGTAGTATAACCTATACAATATAGATTACTTACAACATGTATATCTTAGCACATTGGAGTATAAATTACACATTAGCCCTCTATAATGTAAAACACAGTTTTATCTCTCGACCAACACCTTTAGTTTACATGCAAAGTGCACGTGTTATGCACGTAGTGCATGATTAATATGTTTTATGATTTTAAGTTATGATTGTATGCATTCAATTTTTTGTACTTATGTTATTAATTAATCATAAAAAAGAATTGTATTACATAATGAATTGTGTCAAATAGTAAAATTCAGCCGTTCATTCAACATAATTGAATTGAAACTAAAAAGATTGTTACGTTCAATACTCATTCCATTGACAGAGAAATTTTATCTCATTCCACTGATAGAACAATTCATTTTCAGAATAAATTTTTCATCTTCAATTATTTTTTTATTTTATACTACTTTTCAATTATATACATATAAAAGAATCTAAAATTATGTAAAAATAGTAATTGAAGTATTAGTATAGAAAATTAAGGAATATAAAAAGAAAAAGATTTGTTAATTGTTTCTTTTTAACTGCACTTATTTGTCAATAAAATTTATATATATTAATGATATTTTAAAAAAAATTGTGGGATATTAAGAGATTATTTTTACCTATTTTTTCATATATTTTTTCTGAGATACTAAATAATATCTATTGTATTCCCTATTGTTAATATAGGACCTCAAATATTATTTATAGTAAGATTCTTTTAAGAAAAATCAAAATATTCATGAAACAACTCTTAATTTGAAAATAGATAATGGCCATGTTTGTATTTTAGCTTTTTTGACGAAACATTGTTTTAGCTGTTTTGACCAAATTGAAAAAAGCTAATTTTGCTTTTTTGGCTGTTTGGTAAAACAGCTTTTGAAGTTAGTTGATTAGCTCAAACCGCCAAAACTGTAAACGCTGCTAAAGGCAGCGTTTTGCCTTAGCACACGCCACCATTTAGCACACGCCATTTATTGCTTGTACACACCACTTAAATTGTTTTTTTTTTTTTTTTTTTTTTTT